ACCGCTGTTTCAGAATCGCCCCTCCTGAAGGTACATCATCACTTGAAGACTGCTGATCGCCAACAGTACTGGCGGAAGAGCCAGGCGTAGATGGCTGGTCTACCTGAAACAGAAGAAATCGCAAACGTCAGCTCTTTGGTGAGGTAGCTGTACCAGAAAGAGACGCCTTAACAGCCCGGCAGAGAACAGACTCGCGGTATGCACCTCTCCAAAAACGTTGAGGTGCTACACCCTTTACAATAATGCACGGAAGAATATATGCAAATTTACTGTCAAATGCCCGTGCACGATGGATCCACAACTGCAGCAGAATTGGCATCGAGTTGAGATCAGACTTCAGACGCGGGGGCATCCTCTCTGTTGTATGCTGCTGTTTGCGTTCTGTGTCTCGAATAATCTGCTGTGACATCACATGCCATCTATTTGTCCGCTGCACTCCTCAGGATGCTCCTCTTAGAGACTGTCTAGTATGACCAATGCAACCCAACATGCCATGAAATTCTATAGCGGGCAGCTGATCACCACCACAAGTCTGACTTTCTGCATGGTAGGTATGGCCGGCTGGCCACTACGTGGAGAATGTAACCAGGAGTCTTCGAGCTCCTCCTCCTGTTCCTGCTCAGATAGCTCCGCGCTCGGGCTTGGCGATTGTGAGGAAGGGCTGTCCAGAAGTTGCTCAAGGAACCAATCATCAACGGAAGGACCTAAGTAGTGGTCTAGCCAGCTATTTGGGTCATCAGGGTCTGGGATATGCTCCCCCACTGTCGTTTCTTCGGAAGTTGCTGGCTGTGGAGCTACACCAGGTTGCTCCGCGCTCGGACTTGGCGATTGTGGGGAGGGGCTATCCAGAATGTGACTAAGGAACGGAGAATCAACAGAAGCACCTAAGTATTGGTCTAGCCAGCTATTTGGGTCATCAGGGTCTGGGATATGCTCCCCCACTGTCGTTTCTTCGGAAGTTGCTGGCTGTGGAGCTACACCAGGTTGCTCCGCGCTCGGACTTGGCGATTGTGGGGAGGGGCTATCAAGAATGTGGCTAAGGAATGGAGAATCAACAGAGGCACCTAAGTATTGGTCTAGCCAGTTATTTGGGTCTTCTGCAGGCTCTGGGCTACCCACGTGCTCGTCGGCGGAAGTTTGCTGGTGAGAAGGCGAAGCACCATGACCGAATGAAGCGAGCAACGGGCGGTTGGGACTGGTTTTACCTATATGGCCTTCAACTGAAGGCTTCTTCGTTTGCCATCCTTCCCCATCTTCCCCACCGGGGTTATTGTTGGTATGTCTCCTCTTTCTAGCAGCTCCTCCGCTAGGGCCTGGGACCCCCACGAGTGACTGGGGCAGCTGCTGCCCCTGTGCACTTCCTGGGCGACCAGCTGAGGTGAGTATGGCCTGAATGCTGCGGCACTCTTCATCTTCGCCACTGCTAGCCAGCCTGCGTAGGGCTGGAGTTTGCAGTTTCGAAGGGGATATCCGGAGAAAACAGGAGTAGATTGCAAAAATTAGAGAAAGTATGGCTGTTAGCGCAGCACAAGTTTTAATGGTAAACTGAAGACTTCCGTTAAGATTAGAACTGACGGCGGTTCTATGATTGTGGTGAGAGTTGGGCGGCGGAGAGGAGACACGCGTGTTACCACTCCCGCCGTCGAGGAACCGAGGCTGGTGAACCCACGGATATACTTGCATTTCACATGAAATAAAACTGCTTCCCTGATTCAAAGAAGGCAATTAGTGGAAAAACCCGTGAATAACTTACGCCGAGAGGGAATCGATGATTTGCATGTTGCGCACCGGTTGCGCAGACGGAAAAAAACCCACAATTTCCACTAAGCACAACAATAAAAAGCCGAAACTTCTTCAAGAAGAACGGCAATGCCTATTTGCGTATATTGAAGAATGCTCCCGTGCACGTGGCGGTGCACCTGCCTGGCTGTGCAGAACTCTCACAGCTTTTACTGCGTGTATCCCATTCACACCTATTTAGGCGCACAGAGTAAAATATTCGCCGGAGTCAGCGCCCGCTGTAAAGTAACCTAAATAATCAAATAACTGACCTTAAACCCACGTCCAGCTGACCAATGTGTAAAGAGGAGAGCCGGAAGAGGGCCGACCTGTCCCCTCACAGGGGCCAGCGCCTTTGCGACCTAGCCAGCCCTCGAACCCTGACGGATGTGTGCTGTCGTAACCAGACAATTCCGGTCTAGATGATCTTTAGTAAATATTATTATTGCGTTATATAGTGCTCTTTCCAGGAATAGGCCGCTAGGGGCTCAGTGGAGAGCCCATTGTAGCGCCCGTGCACTGCATGCCCCCTGCTCGGCAACCACGCCTCTGTCTCGGCAAGAGAACCTGGCCCAACATTGCGCACACATGCATCCAATGAGGATGTTTCCTCTTCTTCGTTCGCTTGTAAAAGGGAAAGAATTATCGTATTCATGCTTGTCAAACCCTGCGCGAAACGTCCTGCACAAATTGGGCCTCTATTTTGGCAACGTAACGAAAGTAGAACACCGCACGATGGCGAATGGATAAGAGTTACGCTCTTTTGCAAGACAGTTACTTAAGTTTTCAGGCTCATGCACCGTTCTTCTAATTGCAGCTTTCTTCTGTCCCTCGTATTAGCTGGGCTTGCGTCGAGGTTGTTTATTTCCGTGGCAGCATGCTGCCTAATCTCTCCGCCGGGTCTCCATGCATTATGGATACGGCACAGGGTCCTTGGGCTAAAGGTGCTGACATGAGGCAGATTCTGTTGTGAGTTGTAGTAGTCCTTGCGGAAATGCCTGGTGAAAGCCAGCCGCACATAAAACCCCATTCGTTGCATCCACTAACGCATTAGACAACCATAGGGCGCTTCCTGGGCCTTGGCCTTAGTACCCAGCCTAAACTCATCTAGAAGTATACATACCAACTTAAGACAGATCACACTACATCTGTTTCCCTGTCCTCACAGAAAAGCGCACGCTCCCGCGTGGCTCGGTGCGCCACAAAGTGCCCCACACGGAATGATTGCACCGGGGAAGCAGCAGAGGATTACGAGAGAGGCCACTGCTTTGACTACTGAACAAAAAGTGAAGAATGACAAAGGATGAGAGGCACGCGGCTTATGCCAGTGCTGTTTTTGTTTACTGCATGCTGCCACTACTGCAGACCAGTCAGCGACATGACTGCTGTGTGTGCAGTTGCTTTCTCACCCAGGGACTCAAGATCACGAGATTCGGCGCACATCCGTTCTAGGGTTTGCCCGCGATGCATGGAAAGCCATCTTTTGGGCCTTTTATAACTGGAACTGGGACGGGAGATTCCGGCCGGACTTATGCAGCATGTTGGGTGTGGAGCGCTCGAAAGATCTTTTAGCAGAAACAAGCCCTAACCGCAGACGTTAAATAGCTCAAAAATACTGCAACACGTATACCGTGTATGTATTGCTCGGATTGCCAGCGCCTGCGTGCTGCAGGAAACACTAGCTCGTCGTTTTCTACATAACATATGATTTGCTGAGTATCTGTGAAGTGCTCCATTGGCTGGTAAGGCAAGAAGCCTACTAAAGCGACTACGGATAGATGATTCCTTATCTCCCTCCTCTTCCACTTCTTCGCATGCATTCACACAGTGAGAACAAGCGTTTACGAGGTCGAAAGTGCGTTACAGCAATTCCATTCCAGGGGGTTGTGCTTCAGCAGAAAATAAAATCTGGAGGGAGTGGGAGGCTGTTGGCCCCCTCATCGCCCGCAGGACGTGCAGCTGCCCTACTAGGGAAGCTTGGATGCATGATGAGCATAAGTAATCAAAAGCAAGCTAGCTGATTCCCCACCAGAGCAGCAACGGTAGCTGGTGCAACGAAAATTTGCTGATATCTGTATAGGCTTTTCAGAAAGATCCTGCGCTGCTTGAATCGGGCAACCCGACCTTTCCTTCAACGGAGACACCGTCTGGGCTCGCGATGTTTCGCTTCTCATGTAATGCTTGAGTTTGGAAGGGAAAAAAGAATGTATTTTCATGTGAGAGGAAAGCGCATCACGGAGTCGTGATTCCCGCGGAGGGTGCGGCAACATAAACACGTACGCGGCTTTCAAACGGTAACTCACTACCGAAACAAACCGCAACATATTGTCATTTTTGCAGAATTGCTCGGGTATCAAGGAGGGCGTGCAGTTAAGGCGCCGTTGAAGATGCGGAATGCGCAGTCTTCAACTGCCGTTCAGAGACTTTTCGAGCGACCCCAACACTGAATTCAAGCCTCTTATCTCGGGTTGGCTGTCAGTTGTTGCTTTCTGTCGGATATGTGCGCATTGGAGAGCCAATCAAGCAATCAATGCGTACTCCAACGCCCCACAAGGCAGACTTGGAAAGTGTTGCCCATTGGCTCTGCTGTGTGAACGAGCGTCTCTGGCGTTCACAGCGGATGGAATTCAGCCGGGCTGATGCAAGCAGAAACACGGTGCATTAGAGTGGAGGTTGGCTGCAACGCTCGTCGCTGCACGGTTTAACGTTCGAAACGGTGTTGTGCTATTTTCGCCTTACCACGGCAGCGGAAGGGCATGCACTACTGCTTCACCTGCTGTCTCTTGAGACCAGCCCGCCGCAGTGCGAAGCGTGAACTTGAATCATTTTCCAACAACTGAAACTGACCGCACCCACGGCATCTCTATGTCGATAAGGGTACTCGCGCAAGGTGCTTGTGTACAGGTGGATAAATATATTTCTGCGGAGTTGTATTCTCTTATTTTCTCGTCCGGTGCGAGACATTTGGATAAAAAGAGCAAGAGAGAACAGCTACAGCAACTAATTTATGTGTATTTTCTCGCGAGATGCGGTCCCACTGCACTTGCAGAGATGTGCACGCCACACTGGCCGCCACTACAGCAGGCAGCCTCATCTTTTTTCCCATTGAAATCTGCACTTCAAATAGAAGGATATCTGTTCTCAAATGGGGAAAAGGAGACGCTCTATAGTTCAATAGTGTGCGGAGCCAATCCAACGCAATGCGGTGCGGTGAAACCAAAACGGCTGGCACCAAACTACCGTGGGATTTAAATTCCAGAAGTTCGAACATAATAAAGCTATGTGTGCAGTTGACAAGAAGTAGACGAGCGGCGCCTTGCCAGTGGGCCAGGCCACTTCAGACGTCATCAGCGCTCTGTTCTGTTTGGATATCTCCAAACGAAACCCCAGCTCCCTCTCCGGATGCAATCCCATCTTTCTAACTGGCAAATTATTAGAGTACGTATATATATAATATATGCCTTCGCCAGAAGACATGTTTATCCATTCTGTCGCAAATGCATTGCAGGTTTCCCTTCCATTTGAATACTCATGCCTTTCGTTTTCGCTGCATTTTCATGCTTGCTTTCCTGCAGTGCCGCTTGCAGCACCTGCACCACTCTGTTCAATGCGCTCTCCTGCTGTGCAAAGAGCTGCGCGACGCCAGTGGCGAGCGTTCGCTGCACGCTGCACCAATTTTGTGGCAAGGCCAGGGGCCTGACACTTCCTACATGCGAATCGTTTCCTTTTGCGTTGGAGCACAGCACCTATTGCGCTACAGCAAGCACTCTACATGCGATTCTGTGGAAGTGTGCCGTTCAGACCTGCTCTTGACTTGTATGCATTCTCCATTTAGAATGAAATCGATTTAGTTGAACGGAGCCCATATCTTCATAAGCCTTGTACATAACTTCTCTCTGCGCTCGCAGACCCTCGCTGCGGTGCACGTCGCCATCCTCCAATTGGACCAGAAGGCAAGTTGTCCAAATGAGGCCCCAGATGGCTCTTGGGGGGCCCCTCTGGGAGCCTCTTGGGGTGCCCATGAGGGCCCCTTGGGCTTCTCATGGTAGCATCTTGAGGGCTCCTTAGAACTCACTTGAACGACCTTCTGCGGTCTGCTTAGGGGCCTCTTAGGGGCCTCTTGGGGGGCTCTTGAAAGCCTCCTGGGGGATAATAAGACGTGTTGGGCCCCACAGTGTCGAAATGTGTCAATTTGTGAGGCAAACACCGCAGAAGGCTGCTACTACGTTTGTCTTTTTTAAATGGAGGTTGGCCTGTGCACTTCTGGTAAGCCTGCAAAGTACCAGAAGATACGCTACAAAAGTCTGCTTTTTCTGTCCCAACAGCTACCGTGAGCGCTGCTGGGCTGCTGTGGGGCGCCGCTGGCTGCTGCATGTTGTCTGTGGGGCTGTGGGAACGACCAGCTAGTGCAGTTGCACAGCGCTGCAGCCTCTCACGCTTCATCAGCCCCGAAGAACTCCTCACGTACTATGCGCCTGGCCCTTCTCGCTGCTCTCTCTGCCAAAGTGCGGCGCTTGCTGCACTGAATTCCTGTCAGTCCGTCACCTTTGCCTGGGGGTGCTGCACGCGGCAGTTTCCCTTGACGAGCTGCCGCTGCAGCGCCTGCAATGGCTCCAGCACATGCTGCTGCCACGCCTGCAGCCCCAACAGCGGCAGGTGCTATTGGGGAGCTGTTCTTCATTGTCCAGCTAAAACGATAGCTCCCTTGTCTAGGGTGTGCAGGCACGGACTCCCTGTTTCCTGTCCGTGGGGTTTGTGTGTTGCTGCCGCTTTGAATGCTGCTGCAGCTGCTCCTCCTCCGCCTGATTGCACCCATCGCCTGCGGGGCTTCTGCAACACCTGATGCACTCCGTATTTGCACTGTCTGCTGCACTTGGCGGTAGGCAGCTGCATTTTCGCCGCACGAAACCATGTGTTGGTGTTGCTGCTGCGGCTGCAGCTGCTGCTGCTGTTGGCGGTTGCCTGCCTGCGGGCGCCATAAGTGCCTTTCTTCGTGGCGTTCTCTACTGCGGTCTACGCAGCGCCACAGTTCATCCTGAGTTTGCTGCTGCTGCTTCCTCTGCTGCTGCTGTGCGGCGGAGTGCGGAAGCTTCCCTCCCGTAGCAGTAGGCGCGTATGACTCTCCCCGAGAGCGGCAGCAAACAGGCTGTCTGCTGTAGAGAGCATCGCCTGTGCTGCGGTGTGTTGGGGGCACTGGTGCTGCAGTGTTGGTAGCAGCTGCTGCGTTCACCGGCTGCAGCGGGGAACCCGCTTCATGGGTCTTTGTTAGGCCATGAGCTCGCCTTCGCGGTTGAGAGTGCTGCTGCTGTTGCTGCTGCTGTAGGGGATAAGGCTGCTGCTGGGGGGAAAGGATGCGCTGCTGCTGCTGCTGCTGCTGTTGCTGCTGTTGTTGTTGCTGCTGCTGTTCCTTTTCCTCCTGTAGGTGGGGACGTGACGACGGCCGTACCTCTCCAGAAGAAGCCCTACAATACGTCAAGGGAACCCTTTGAATCCTCCCAGCGCACAGTTGTTGGTGTTGCTGCAGCAGCTGCAACATTTGCTGCTGCTGCGGTTGCAGCCTATGGGTCACGCGAAGCAACTGCATGGGATCGTTGAGCTCCTGTACCCTGTTCGGCAGCCTCTGGCTTCCCAGTTGTTGCTGGTGAGGCTGTTGCTGCCGCTGTTGTTGCTGCTGCTGTAGTTGATCCTGTTGCTGAGGGGTCGGAGATTGAACTTCCGTCACAGTAGTGGCTACCAGGCTTCCGATTCTGCTGCTGCTGCTGCTGGGCAGCAGTGTGCAGCACGAAAGGTCACTGTGGACGGCGAACCTAGCTGGTTGCTCCTCAACTGCAAAAGCAGCAGCCGCAGCAGCAGCGCTAGGAGCAACAACAGCACGACCAGCATCTTCCTGTGGAGCTTCCTCCCCTAGTCTGTTCATGACTGGGACCGTGAGTGTAGGGTGGCTGTGTTGCTGCTGATGGGCCGTTTGTCTGCAGGGGGGAGACGGCGCCGTTGCTGCTATTGCTGCTGCTGTTGCTGCTGCAGCTGCTGCAGTGTGCAGCGTCGGCATCACAGCAGCGGGAGTGCTTCTGAGGAAAGCAGCACCTCGCAGCTGCATGAGCTCCTCTTGTGCAGCAATGCTCCCTTCCAACTCTAAACAAGACCCCCCTAACTTCCTCAGAGGCACAGGCTGAGGGGCAGGGGGTTCAGATAAGAGTAATTGGGAGCCGCAGCTCGGGGCCTTGCGGCGCTGCTGCTGAGGCGCAGGGATGCTCGCTGCAGCAGCAACAGCAGGGGGGGGAGCAGGAGCAGCAGCAGCAACACCAGCTGCTGCTGCTCCTTCCGGGGTCATCGGGAAGATTGCTTTGTGCATGCGCTGTGGGTGGTGCTGCTGTGCCAACACTCGAACAGACGAATGCTGCTCAGCAGAGCCTCCAAGGTCCCTGTTCAACTCCTTCCGCCGCCGCTGCAATTCGCCGTTGCCGCTGCTGCTGCTGTTGCTGCTGCTACTTTCTTTGGTGCTTCTGGGGCTTCGTGCCGCCCTGGCTGGTGTCGCATGAGGGCAGGCTTCCCATTGCTGCTTTTCTGGAACATCGGAAGCAGCGGCAGCAACAGCAGAAACAGCAGCAGCAGGATTCAGTTGCTGCAACGCGTCGTCGTTGGCTTTGTTGCTGTAATAATGGGCCTGTGGCAGCAACTCGTGGGCTGCTTCGGATCCCAACAAAGCCTGTTCTGCGTTCTTAACCAGGTGCAGGGCTTGCTGCACTGCTGCTGCTGCTTCTGCTACTGCTGCTGTCCGGTCGCTGTTGTGCTCCTGGAGCAAGACTTTCTGTTGCTGCTGCAGCTTCTGCTGCAGCTCGTGCTGCAACAGCCCCCAGAGAAGACCCGCTGTCTGGGACTGCTTGGGCGAATGAAGAGGCTGGGGGAGCGCCCGCTGCAGCGGCACCAGCAGCAAATACACATTCGCAGCAGCACACCCAAATATGTAGATGAACCACCTCATCACTGCATGCAGCAGGTATCTTAGAACATATGCGCATGCCAACGCTACTGCTGCTGCTGCTGGTACTGGCACTGCTGCTGTTCTTGCTGCTGCTGCCAAAGTAGAGCATATGCTGCTTAGGTAATTTACTCGGGGATGCAACAGAGGCTTCCGATCGGATTCACTTGAGCGGTCTGATGCTGTTGTTGTTATTGTTGTTGTTGTTGCTGCTGTTGCTGCTGTTGCTTCTGCTGTTGCATTGGCTCCTGCTGCTGCCTCTGCTGCCTGCAGCGTCTCTCCAGGCAGCGCAAACATTCGTCGCTGCCTGAGGAATCCGCAGCGGCACTGACACACGCAGCCAGGGCCCCCTGGTCTGCCGCTGTTGCTGCTGCTGCTGAGGGTGCTGCTGCTGCTGCTGCTGCTGCTGCTAGAGCCGTCAGGCACACTCAGGCGAACAGTTCCATGTGCTTGTGTTGCTGCAGCAACAGCAGGTGCTGCCGCTACTGCTACTGCCTCGCTGCATTCCGTGCTTGCAAGCTCTGGCCCCCGCCTGAAGACGGAGGCGGATGTTGCACGGGTCGTAGCTTCAGCGGCTGCCACTGCATGCTGCAGGGGCTCTGCAGAGACTGAAATCTCTACATCTTGCTGCTGCTGCTGCTGCTGCTTTGCCGAGTCGCCCGCCGCTGCTAAGGCTGCCTTGAGTGGAGGGCTGTCAAACCCTCGTGGAGGGAGCGGTGGTGCAGCGGTCTTGCATGCCAGTGCAGCTCTTGCTGCTGCTTCTTGCTTTGCTGCTGCTGAATGCATTGCTGATAGTCCTGCTGCAGCAGCTGCTGCTAATGCTGACCCTCCAAGATACTCTGCACTCGGTTGGTAAGGCATGATGCATGCAGCCCCGTGGGCCGCCACTTCTTGGATTTTGCGTTGGTTGCTGTAGCTGTTGCTGCTGCTGCTGCACACCCCCTTGCTCACTTGAGCGAACCCAACGCCCTCTGCAGTATCCTCCCTCTCTAGTTGCTGCAGGGTCTGCAAGAGTTTCACGCCCTGCTGCTGCTGCTGCTGCAACTGCTGCTGCAGCTGCTGCTGCAGGGGTGACTGAGGCACACTCCCCCCTAACTCTGTTGATTTGCTGCTGCCGGTGCCATCTGCGGGCACCCCTTCTGCTGCGTCTGGCTGAGCTTCACGTATTGATGAGTTCTTGTTTGTCTTGCTGCGGCTGCTGCTGCTGCAGCTGCACATACACCGCAACCCCTTTGCGTACCGATCAGCATTGAGGAGCTGCTGCCTGAGCAGAAACCTCTCTTCCAGCTGCTGCAGCAACAGCGCCTGCTCGCGCAAGCGCATGCAAATTTTCAACCGCAATGCTGCAGTCCCGCAGTTACCTTCCCAGTGGCTCCTGCTGCTGCTGTTGCTGCTGCTGTTGTAGTGTTTGCTACTCCTGCTGCCGCCACTGCTGCTTGTACACAACCCGCCAAGCTTCCTTGGCGACAGCACCTCACACGCAGCACCTGCATGTGATGGAGTATCTCTTAGTTGTTGGTGCTGCTGCTGTTGCTGCTGTTGTTGCTGCTGTTGCTGTTGTTGCTGTTGCTGCTGCTGTTGCTGCTGTTGCTGTTGCACTTGCTGCGTTTGTTCGTCTGCTGCTGCACCTGGTCCGCCAGCTGCAACAGCCGCCAGCACTTCCTTGGGGTTCTCTTCTGTCCGTCGTGCTGCTCTTGTGCAGCAGATCGAGGTGGATGCGGCCATGCTTGCTTTTAGGGACGCATAAACTGCAGAGGCAGCAGTGTTAGAAGCATTGGCAGCAGCAGTATTAACTGAAACAGCATCAGATGCAGTAGGGGAAGCAGCAGCAGAAGCAGTTGGCGCACCGGGCGATGAGTCCTGTAACTCTTCCAGGGTTCTCTCACGTTGTAGTGAGAAGGCATGCAGAACACGTTGATGCTGCTGTTGTTCTTGTTTTTTCTGCTGCAGCAGCTGCTGCTGCAGCTGCTGCTGCAGTTGCTGCTGCAGTTGCTCTACAGCGGTGCAAGCCACTTCAGGCGCCAAAGGAATAACGGCAGCAGCATCAGCAGCAGCTCGGTGGTGCAGAAGAGTCTGCGGGAAGCCGCTGCACTCGACAAGTGCGGGCAGAGACGATTCTCCCGGCGTCACAGCAGCAGCAGCCAGCGCAGCAGCAGCAACATGCGCAGCAGCAGCAGCACGTGCAGCAGCCGCAGCAGCTACAGCGTTGCCATTTTCGCAAAGTTGCGTTCGGGAGTTTTTAGCGCCTCTCTGCACTGGCTCAAGTACATCTATCCGCAGCGGGGAACTGCAATGGGTTATGCTCCTGCTGCTGCTGCTTCTGCTGCTCTCAGCAGCAGCAGCAGCAGCTCCTGGGGCCTTTGGAATACCTACTATACCTGACCCTGAGGGCAAACGCTCCTGAGACACCGCGCAGTGCCCTAGTTGACGCAGCTTTTGTTCGTTGCTGCTGAGTAAAATGGGACCAGCAACGCCAGCAGCAGCAGCGGGAGATGCAGCAATGCGAGCAGAAGGGGCCAGAGCAGCAGCGGGAGATGCAGCAATGCGAGCAGAAGGGGCCAGAGCAGCAGCAGCAGGAGAATCAGCAACAGCAGCTTCTTTTCTCCTGCTGCGGCCTCGACGCAGCAACGCCCGTATCCGCGCAGTTCCCCTTTGTAGCAGTTCTAAGGAGGGGCTCCTCTGTGGCCTTTTCTTCTCCCCCCTGTTGGAGTAGCTGCTGTTTCTGCTGCTGCTGCTACTGCTGCTGCTGCTGCTCGTCCTGCTGCAGCTGCCGTTGCTGCTGCGGGCAGTGGCCTGATGAAGCCTGCGTCTGTCTGCTGCTGCTGCACGTGACAAGGCACACGCAGCCATGATTCTCATTGTAAGTCATTTGTTGAATCAAGCAACAGCAACACCAGCAACAGCAGCAGCAGCCTGAGGAGAGTTCGTCCTCAGGCGTTTCTCAAGCTGTACACACTTCCCTGTATAGGCCCTACTCTGTGAATTGGTGTTGCTGCTGCTGTTGCATAAATTTGAAGCTCTCGAGGCTGCTGTTCGTGCTGCTACTGCTACTGCTAGTGCTGCTACTGCTATTGGTACTGCTGCTAGTGTTGCTGCTGCCGCGGTACAGTCGTTCTCAAGACAGGGCGCTACAAGCAATCGAGACAACTATGCCGACGTCTACACACATGTGCATGCATATCATCATCGGCAGCAGCAACAGTCTATTTCAAGTTGGTTTTACTTGTGCAGCTGCTACAGATGCTCAGGGGCTTTATACACACTAGTCCCTGCAGAGAGCATATTACTTGTCTTCTGCTGCTGCTGCTCCTGCTGCCGCTGCTGCCCCTAATGCAGCAGCAACAACGGCCACAGCAGCTGCAGAAGAAGCAGCAGCAGAAGCAGCAGCAGCAGAAGCAGCAGCAACAGAGTCACGGCTGCACCGCCACGGCCCTGAAGCGTAGAGCAGATTTGTCTCAGGCGTATCTTCTAATGAAGAAGCAGACAATTAATTGCTTACTCTTTCACCGAGCAGCAGTGCTTCAGCTTCATACCTGTTGCTGCCGTTGCTGCCGCTGCAGAACACCATAGGGCCCAATGGCAGCAGCACAGCAGCACAGACACACCGCGGGGCCGCAGCAGCATCACGTCAGCTCTTCTTCTGAATTATGCAAATTTAACGCATTGCTTATTATCTTTAATTAATTATATCACGTCTCTTTATCTCGCTACGCTGGCCTCTCGGTTGTGCCCTCGTACATACAGCAGCTACAGCAGCAGCAGCAACTGCAGCAGCAGCAGCAGCAGCCGCTGCTACAGCAGGAGCTGCAACAACCCACGGGATTACACTTTGCCGAGGAGGAGCAACCATTCAGAGCTTCACGATGAGCAGTAGCAGCTCCTGGGGCCAGTCGCCCGCTATAGCAGCAGGGGGTGCAGCAGCCGAGGCAGCAGCAGCAGCAGCAACAGGAGCAGCACAGCCCGTTGCTGCTCAAGAACCCGTTCCTCCTGCAGTTTGTGCCGATGTAGGGAGACGCATGCAGCACGCCGACAACTTCTGGCAACAGCTGGAAGCAGCAGCAGCAGCAGAAGTGGGGCCTCAGAAAGCAAAACGGTAGGTCCTCTCCTCTGCTGCTGCTGCTGCAGCTGCTGCAGGCTCGTTGTTCGCATTTTAGTCGCCTGCGGCTCTGTGGCGGCCTGTTACTTGCAGGGGCGTGCTGCGCATGTGCTGCAGTGGTGAACAGACAGCTGCATGTTGCTGCATGCTGTGTATGCCTATGCGATTAGTACATATTTTCGGTGTATGTTTATTTAATAGTTATATAGGTTGGTGTTTGAAGTTTGTTTGCTGCATGATCTCGTTTGCTGCTGTGTGCGGCTTGCTGTTGGTGTTGGCCGTGTAATTCATGCCGCTGCTGCTGCTGCTGCTGCTGCTGCTTGTCTGCAGATTCGTGGCTGCCTTTCAACAGGCCCACGACAATAAGGTGCAGGCAGCAAACTTAGAGCAGGCAGACCAACTCGCTGCGCAGATATTCGCTGCTATACAGCAGCAGCAAGGCTAAAGCAGCAGCAGGAACTGCTGCTGCTGCTACGCGGGAACAACGTGCTGCGCAAAGTCTGGAGCTACGCAGCACCGGCTGCAGCAGAGCAGCAGCAACTATGTAGTGGCTACCCAGGCTCAACTACTACTACCCACATCAGCAGCAACAGCACAGCAACAGCAGCGGCAACGTAATCAAAATCTTCTCGACCGAAATACGTGCGGTTATGAGGCCCCAAAATGTTGCTTCAGGAGCTGCCGTCGTCTCTGCTAATGTTGCCGCGAAGGCAACCGCAGAAGCAACTGCAACTGGCAAAGCTGCAGCAGCGCGAACTGCAGCAGCTGTAGCAGCGAGCGGTTCCCCTCTTTGTGGGCCGCCCGGCCTTACGGTGTACAGCCACCTCCCTATTTGCCTGTGCTCATGCTAAAGCAGAGCCGGGCGTGTTGCAGCACTAGCTGTCGCTGTTGCTGCTGCAGCTGCAGCAGATGCAGTAACAGACGCACCTGCTTCTGCAGCAGCAGCATGCCATCATGTGCTCTCCCTGCTGATGCAGCCACTGATACATTCAAGACACGGCACCCCCTGAGGTGATCCCGAAAGTGCAGCAGCAATTGCTTCTGCTGCAGCTGCTGCAGCAGCTGGTGCTGCTGCTGCTCTGCTGCACAGAGAAGAACTGCGCTGGAAGCATGGCAGTTCTACGCAGCAGCAGAAACTGCAGCAGCTGCTGCAGCAGCCAGCATCAGCTGCTACCCCTATTGTTTTACTGAAACAGACAATTCAATCTACACTCATGGCTCCTTGCGAGGTTTGTGACGCGGTGCGCAGCAGCGGGTCCTCTCCCTGCTGCTCTTGCTGCTGCTGCTGTTGCTGTTGCTGCTCCTCTTCAGAGTCTTCTGCTGCTGCTGAGACCAGCAGCAAACCATCCCTCTCCACTGCTGCTGCTGCAGTTAAGCCACCGATTTGCTGCTCCTCCTGCTGCAGCTTCGCCAGCTCGGCAAGGGGATCCAGAGGCTTCTGCAGCAGCAGCTCTTGCTGCTGCCGCTGCAGCAACAATCGCTGCTGCTGCAGCGGCCGCAATAGGGGTTCATACACTGGGTTCTGTACATACGGCACAAGCGCTACACAAGAAGATGCTGGGGCAGGAGGGGGCTCAGGCCCAACAGCTGCTGCGGCTGCTGCTGCTGCTGGTGGAGTTGGTGCTGCTGCTGCTGCAGTTTCTGCTGCTGTTGCAAGCGCTGGCCCCGCTGCTTCCGCTGCTGCTGCTGAGACTGCTGCTGCACCAGTAGTTCCTGCGGCCGTTTTTATGCGGCTTGACTTCACAAGGGGCACCACTGAAGAGAGGGAGCGCTTGCGGCCTGCAGAGACGCACGTATGCTGCTGTTGTAGCTGTTGGAGCAGTTGCGGCTGCTGCTGCTGACGTTGTAACTGCTGCCGCTCTTGCTGCAGCAGCAGCAGCTGCTGCTGTTGCTGCTGCTGCTGTACAGGAGGCTGAAGCGGGGGGCTTCGCCCTCTACGCGTACTCCCCTCAACGCTCAGCAGCCGCTGGCGCTTGAGTTGCCGGAGAGACACCTGCTGCTGCTGCAGCTGCTGCTGCAGCTCCACTTGCTGCTGCTGCTGCAGCTGAGCACCCTGCAGCGACTGCTGAAGAGGTGAAGCAGCAACACTCGGGTGTGGTGGTGGTGCATCGATAATGGGTGATAAGCCTCGTTTCTGAGACGACGGCATGTTGCTGCTGCTGCTGGCCCTGCTGTTGCTGCTGCTGTTGTTGCTGTTGTTGTTGTTGCTGCTGCCGTGCTCAGGACTTCAAGGCTTTTGTTGCTGCCGCAGTGCAAGCTGCTGGCGTTGACTGTCCTGCTGCAGCTGCTGACGCAGCAGCCACAACGTCTCGAACAGCATGCTTCTGCCGATTTCGTGATGTTTCTCTCGCTTCTGCTGCTATCGTTGCTGCTGCTCCCGCTGCTGTTGCTGCTGCTGATGCTGTTGCTGTTGCTGCTGCTGCCGCAGCTGTACGTAGGGGTCCAACTGGAGCTTCTTAAGCCAAAGTGAGTATTTAATAGATGTGTAATGCGTAGAAGGTCCTGCAGCAGCAGCACCAGCACCAGCAACACACGACCCAGCAGCAGCTTCCCCTGCTGCTGGTGCTGCTGCTGCTGCTGTTGTTGTTGTTGTTGTTGTTGCAGTTGTGTTAGGGAGCTCCCACCTGTTCAGAGTTTTGTTTCTGCAAATGAATACAACAATAGAATTACAATTAAGTAATTTAATCGAACACACGAGTAAAGAGCATCTCTTGAACGCAAACTGCTAACGTTCTGGGGGGTTCAAATCAAACCATCGGGGCTGCTGCTGCTGCTGCTGCCGCTGTTGCTGCAGCAGCTGCTGCTGCGGCACACTTAATATGCATATTTGCCTATTCGCATTTCTTTGTAGCAGTTGAGAGCAACCAGACCCCAGGACAGCCTCAATAGAGAGAAAATTGCTGCTCTCGATCTGTGTGTGTGTGTGTGTGTGTGTGTGTGTGTGTGGTGTGCATTTTCCTGAGGTGTATGTACACTGTATTTATTTTTATTCGTAACTAGGATTGTTCGCTGCTGCTGATACTACACACAGTTGCGGTGTCTGTACACCGCAAGCATTCACCGAGTAAGCGACGCGCTCCCCCATAGGATAGCAGCAGCAGCAGCAGCAGCTGATGCAGCAGGCAACGCTGAAACTACGGAAACTGCTATTTGCTGCAGTTATAGGAAACGCTACAGCTCGTGTTGTTGCTGCTGCTGTCTCTCCTGCTGCTACACCATCCGTTGCTGCTGTTGCTGCTGTTACGACTCCCGCTGGTGCTGCTACTGCTAACGTTCCTCCTGTGGCTAGGCAGTTTGCTTCCACTGCTGCTGATGCTGCTGCTGTATAGGAATTGCTGCTGCTGACATTGCAGCAACTTCTGCTGCTGTAACAGGAGCTGCTGCTGCTGCACAGGAGCAGCTGCTGCTACTGGTGATAGCACTGATGGGTCCAGTTAAGCGTGCATGTGATGGGGTGTTTGTACACCTTAGGCGCAGCTGTCAGCAGCGAGAGAATAAATAAAGAGAAGCAGATTGAAAACCGTAAGGTGTATGTACACCCCGCAGCAAACCCGATGATGTTGCCTGCGCCTGCTGCACTGTATCGACTGTGTGTGTATCAGTGCTTCTTTATAAGTAAAGATGTATCCTGTATGTATATTATATAATAAAAACAAATAAATAGACATTGCATATATATATTATTTAATAATATTTAATAATAATTTATTAGTATTCAATAAAGGCATTGCTTAATGATCTCATAATTACTTGCATCGAGAGAGGCGGAGATAAAACAGGTATTATTAATAATATTCTTATTCTTAAACTTATTCTAATTCTTATTCTTATTCGCATTCTAATACTTATCCTTATTCTTATTATTCTTATTATTACTACTACTATGGTTATTATTACTATTACTATTAATTGTTACTTATTATTATTAGTAAAGATGAAAATAATCAAAACTGAAATGTAGCATGTGCAGATTTTATGCAGAGTGCATGAATCTAGAAGCTGTAGATTTACACTTGTAATAATATAACTACGCAACAACATATATATATATATATATTTAGGTATACATATATACAGATATGCATACAAGTATAAGCATATATATATATTAACTACATAAATAATACTAGTACAATTATAATATTCGCAATTACTGTTGTAGTTGTAACTAAATAATAATAAAAGTAAGTAATAATAGTACTAAGTAATAATAATAATACAAAAAACAATGATAGTAATCATACTACTACAAATAATAATAGCAGTAATAATAATAATAAATAATAACAAATAATAATAATAATAATAATAATAATCTTTCAGCGCTGTATACGCCAACTAAGTGATGCAAACTATGAAAAGACGAATATTGGAGGGAAAGCGAAGAAGTCGAATTCAAATAAACCAGCATAAAAAGCAGAGAAAAAGAGACAAAAAGAGACAAAATAAAAAATATAATATAATAAAATAAACAAGAGAGAAGAAAATAAAGAAAAGCAAAGTTGCGACAGCTGCTTTTGCTTCTCTACGGATCGAAGCAAAGCCTCACAACCCACTGTCTCTCTCCAGGTAGCAGCAGCACTCGCACTTCATCAAATAAATGCAGCACCGCTTCGTCTCCCTCCGCTAAGCCACTTAGACAGCCTCCGGGACCCCGCAGCAGCTCAGCTGTCTCTTCATCAGCAGGCACGAAGGAATCCTGCTGCTGTTGCTGCTGTTGCTGCTGTTGTTGCTGCTGCTGCTGCTGTTCTTGCTGCTGCTGCGAAGGCGCCGCATCATCCGGCCTCCTCAGCCTACGGACGCGAATCGAACGAACGCAGGGGCTTCCATGGAAGGCTGCAGAGGGTGTTGCTGCAGCAGCAGCAGCAGCAGCAGCAGGGGCCTCCTCTTCGTTCCACGATACCAGCTCCAGCCCAAGGGTAGTGAGACTGCAGCTGCGCGCCTGCCGCAGCAGCGGGACAAACAGCTGCAGCGCCGGCTGTGTGGGGACCTCTTCCTCAGCGGCACCTTCTGCTGCTTCTGCTTCTGCTGCTGCTTCTGCTGCTTCTGCGTCTGCTGCTGCAGTGGAGGCTTCGCGTGAGGTGGAGTTGAAGTCCGAAGGATTTGCTTCCGGCATAATTTCCTGCAACTTTTCTCGTTCCGAAAGAGAAGCTGCTGCTGCTGCTGCACTTGTTGCTGCTGCTGCTGCAGCGTGTGCTGCTGCTGCTGCAGGCTGGCGAGAATTCGGAACATGAATGTGTGCTACAGAAGCAAAACCGTAGACAAGCCCCTGAGGATGTGCAGCTTTAAGAAACTGATTAACTACCCAACTAAAAAAAGACAGCTGCGCGTCCTCAGCGCGGCGTTTGCTGCGGTTGCAATGAAGACAGGTCGCCTGCAACGTACACCCCACAACACACAAGCTGCAGTAAAGCAGCAGCAGCAATAGCAGCAATAACAGCAGCAGCAACAGCAGCAATAGCAGCAGCAGCAGCAGAGAACTAGCAGCAGCAACACCAACAACACAACAGCAACACTACCACAGCACCCAAACACATAAAAACAGCAACAGCAGCAATAGCAGCAACACAGCAGCAGCAGTAGCAGAAGCAACACGACAACAGCAACACCAACAGCAGCAGCAGCAACAGCTTTACTTCTAAGTCAGCGAGGGAGGTCAGGGTGTTTGGCGTCTGCAAAATTCGATGGACCAAAATATCCGCGTAGCGTCGAATGGGCGAAGTGAAGTGGAGATACACCGGAAGTGCAAGGCCCCAGTGTCTGCAGCAGCAGCAGCAGCAGCAATAGTAACAGCAGCAATAGCAGCGCAAGCAGCAGCAGCAGCGGCATTAAAAACTACGGCAGAAACATTAAAAGGAAGCATCTTCGACAAGGTAGCAATGATAGGAGAAACAGTACCTTACAAACCACCCATACAACACCAATTGCAGTAGCAACAGCAGCAGCACAGAGCGGAGAAAGCTACAGCAGCAGCAAGAGCAGCAATAGAGGCAACCTACTCAGCGGAAAGGGGCTCATTTGAATTTGTGCCAGGTAGAGACGGAGAGACGCACGTAGCTAATTCGCATGTGGGGTCCTCATCTGTGCTGCTGCTGCTGCTGCTGTTGCTGCTGCTTCTGCTGCTGGTATCCGCTGCAGCAGCAGATGGAGGTGCTGCTGCAGCTACGACCCTATGGCTAGGGACATACTCCGCAGGCAGCAGATCCTTCAAGCAGGCGAAGCAGAGGGCCTAGTGCAACACAGCAGCAGCAACAGCAGCAGCAATCAGTAGCAGGAGCAGCAACCAGTGGCAGCAAGCAGCAGCAGTCGTAGCAACCAGTTGCAGCAGCATCCACCAGAAACAGCAAGCAGCAGCAACAGCAGCAGCAGCATCATAGTAGAAGCACAACAGCAGCAGCCGCTGCTGCATCTACAAAAACAACGGCGACTCGGAAAACTCTCGCCGCCCAGCAGCAGCAGCAGCAGCAGCAGCAGCAGCACTGTCACCACCACCACCACCCGCAGCAACGGCACCGGCATCAAGACAGCGGCAGCATCAGCAATAACGGCATCAGCAGCATCAGTAATTACAACATCAGCAGCAACAGCAACAGCGATATCCACCGCAGCAACAACAGCTGCAGCAGCAACAGCAGAAGCAACAGCAGCAGCAGCAGCGAATTCCTACGCCAAAGGCCTGCGGGGACATTCGAGAGGAGCAGAAATTCAACAACTCCCCCAAAGCTGGCTCTGTGCAATCATCATCATCGGCAGCAGCAGCAGCGTCAGCAGCAGCAGCAGCATGTGCTGCTGCTGCTGTTGCTGCTGCAGAGAAGGCAGGTGTGTCTGCAGTGTTAGATAGAAGCCTCCCCGATGCACTCTTCCTCGCTGTAGGCTCAGCAGCTGCAGCCACTTCCTCTAGCTGCTGCTGTTGCTGCTGCTGTTGCTGCTGCTTTCTGGAGTGTACATACACCCGAAATTCTCTCGCCAGAGATGGGCCGATGAGCTGCAGCACTCGCCGAGTTGCTTGAGCGTTGCTGCTGCAGTGTCTCCGCACGACACCCCCAAACACCACAGGAGAAGCAGTAGGAGCTGATGCTGCTGCTGCTGCTGTTGTTGTTGTCGTTGCTGCTGTTGTTGCTGCTGCTGCTTGTTGTTCACCAGCAGAAGACGCCTCATATTTCGGTGGTGCAGCAGCAGCATCAGCGATAGCTCCTGGGGTGGCTGTTTCTGCTGCGGTCGTTGTTCCAGGTACTGCAGCTTCCGCTGCTGCTTGTGCTCCAGCAGCAGCAGCAGCAGCAGCTTCTGCTGCTGCTGCTGCTGCGGTTCTGTTTTCGCTAACAATACGCGCAGCAACAACGTGGTTAGCCAACACCATCGCCTCCTCCACCATTGAATGAGCCCAGGGCCTCTGCTCCCTAATTATCTTCAGGCGGAGCGGCCCCTTTCTGCTGCTGCTGCTGCTGCTGTTGCTGTTGCTGTTGCTGCTGCTGTTGCTGTTGCTGTTGCTGCTGCTGTGAAGCCTTTCAAATGAGACACTCCAGCCTGCAGCAGCATTCAGCTGCAAACTGCCTCTGCTGCAGCGCAGCAACCCGCGGCCTGCTGCCAATTGGTGCAGCAACAGCACATCCTCCGCGATCGCCCCTAAAGAGACGTGCAACAGAAGAAACGAAACAGACAACGCCGCACCAGCTGCAGCAGCAATAGAAGCAGCAGCAGTAACAGAAGCAGCAGCAGCAACAGAAGCAGCAGCAGCAACAAAAGCAGCAACAGCAAAAGCAGCGACAGCAAAAGAAAGCAACGACAGCAGCAGCAACAGAAACTCCAGCAACAAAAGCAATAGTAGCAACAACACTAACCGCAGCAGTGGCAACAAAAGCAGCAACAACAGCAGCAGCAGCAGCAACTGCAGCAGCAACAGCAGCAGCAGCAACACCAACAGCAGCAGCGCCAGCAGCAACAATAGCGGCACCAGCAGTACCACCAGCAGCAGCAGACTCAGCAGCAGCAACCACAGCACTTGCGCAAGCAGCAGCAACAGCAGCAGCAGCACTAGCAGCAGCAGCAGCAGCAGCAATATCTACCTGGAATATCATGTTTTGCTGCTTCTTCTCGCACAGTGCCAATGACGTCTGCTATCTCCATCGGACTGAACTTTGCTTCCTGCTGCTCGCGTTCGATTTGCTGCAGCAGCAGCTGCAGCAACTCCACGGTGCGGCCAACTTCAACCCGCTGCTGGTGCTGCTGCTGCTGCAGCTGTTGCTTGTGCTGATGCTGCTGCTGCTGATGGAAGGCGATGAGATGCTGCACGTTTCTTGCGGAGAGGAGGCGCAGCAGCTGAGGAGACACCAACGGGGAGAGCTGCTGCGTCTGCAGCAACAGCTGCTGCTGTTGCTGCTGCTGCGCGGGCAGCAGCAACCTCGGGTGCTGCTGTTGCATGCAGCAGCAAAGTGACTCTAAGAATTCATCGACTTGGGAATACGTCAGACGCGCCCTGCAGCAGCAACGGCAGCCACAGCACTACAACCAGGTTGCTGCTGCGTGTGTTGCTGCTGGTCGTGGTGCTGCTGCGTGCGTTGCTGCTGGTGTTTCTGCCGCTGCATGTGTTTCTGCTGTTGCCGCAGCAGCAGTAACAGCAGCAGCAGAAGCACAAAAGATAGCCATGGAAATCTTGGCAACCGCAATGACAGCAGCAACACAAAACGTGAATACTGCAGCAGCAGCAGCACGAACAGCAGCAGCAGCACCACCACCACCAACACACCAGCAGCAGCAGCAGCACAAACAACAACAGCAGCAGCAGCAGCAACTCACGCGGATTGAATGATGGTGGGGGCCTCTCCTGCTCTAAGCAGCGCGCCATCGTCAGCAAGACGGCAGAAGACCGAGCGAGTCAGCCGCGGAGCTCCAGGAAGCAGAGAGCAAACACCTTCACTCAAGTCACGAGGAAGCATAGGGTACACCCTGCAGCAGCAGCAGCAGCAGCAGCAGCAGCAGCAGCATCAGCAGCAGCAACAGCAGCAGCAGAGGAGCAGCAATAGAAGGAGCAACAGCAGGAGCAGCAAAGGAGCAACAGTAGAAGCAGCAATAGCAGCAGCAGCAAAGGAGCAGCAATAAAGAAAAGAGATATGAGGAGATTAAACAGCACAGAAGAGGAAGAGATAGACAGAGAGACAAAGAGAAACAGAGACAAAGACAAACGGAGACAGAGAAGAACAGACATAAAGACATAAAAAGACACAAGACACAGAGAAACAAAACGGGACACACAGACAGACAAATAAATACAATCAGAGACAGACAGAGCGAAATAAAGAGAGAGACAAACGGAGACAAAAGGAGACAGAAAGACAGAGATCAGCATTCAAATAGACCAACAAAAAGAGACAAAAAGAGACAGAAAAAAAGATGAAAAGAGACAAATAAAAAATAAAAACACACTTATTTTCAAGATAAACTGTCGTCGCTCTTCGCCTCGCCTCTGTATCCAAGAGAGACCCGCGATGAACAAAAAAAGAGACATCAGCAACATGAACCCCCAGCTCAAACTCAAGTGCTGCTGCTGCTGCTGCTGTTGCTGCTGCTGTTGTTGCTGCTGCAGCTGGCGCTGCTACTGCTGATGATGAAGATGCTGGTTGGGTGCCTCCACCAGAGCCGCTTTCTTCAGCTGCAGCAGCAGCAGCAACAGCAGCAAAGGCAGCAGCAGACGGCAGCCTGCGGATGCTGATGGCGTCATCGAGGTCTTTTGCTGTCGGGGGGTCGATGCTGAAGATACGCAGCGGGAGTTGTTTCACTGCTGCTGCTGCTGCTGCTGTTGCTGCTGCTGCTTCAGATCCTGGGGCCGAGGCTGCTTCTGGCAGCAACGGAAAGAAACTCAGCCCCATTTCCTGTTCAACGGCTGCAGCAGTTTGTTGCTGCTGCTGCTGCTCTTGCTGCTGTTTCAGCTGTTGTGGCTGTTCCTGCTGCTGTTTCTGCAGCAACAGCAGCAGCTGCTGCTGCTGCTTCTGCTGCCTGCAGTCGATGCGCGTGTTGCTGTCTATGGCCTGTTGCAACCAAAGAGGGTTTCCGGTGTAAGGGCAGCTAGCGGTAAGGGTTTGCTGCAGCTGCGCATACACCTCAGCAGGGAAATCTCTGAACTCCAAACCTGCAAGCTGTACTGTTGCGTCTGCTTCTGCTGCTGGTTCTCCTTTAAGCCCCAATAGAGACACCTTTGCTGCTAGTGCTGCTGCTGCTGCTTCTCCTGCTCCTGCTGCTGCTCCTGCTGCTGCTCCTGCTGCTGCTGCTGGCGACTTCATGTGCACCGGCCAGTCCCCTCGCCGCAGCAGCACCAGCAGCGCCTTAGACGAGCCCGCGAGAGACAACAGATATTTTGCTGCTGCCTCCAGTTCCTTGTCTGTATCCTGTTCTTGCTGGTGCGACTGCTCAATGTGGGGTCCTTGCTGCTGCTGCTGCTGTTGCCGCTGCTGCTGCTGTTGCTGCTGCTGCACGGCACGAAGAAGAGACAGCAGCGGCACGCGGAACGGAGGTAGTCGGCTGTCTCTGAGGCAAACAGCGCATGCAAATAACAGAGACAAAATGCGGCAGACGCAGGTGCTGCTGCTGCTACAGGTGCTGCGGCAGCTCCACCAGCGGCGCAGCACTGAAAATATTAATTAAAAGACAGAAGGGCAGCCACGCAAAGACACACCTGGGTTGAGCCTTAACCAAAAACATTTCTCGCAACGAGACCTGCTGCTGCTGCTGCCGCGCCTGCTGCTGCTGCTGCTTCAAGAAGCGGCGGATTGCTGCTAAATGCAGATGAGGTTGTATCGTTGCAACGATCTCCTCCGTCCCCTTCCCTCTTTCTTCAATATACACCACGCGGCACGTTGGCCGCTGCAGCACCACCTGCTGCTGCTGCTGCTGCTGCGGCTGTAGCTGCTGCTGTTGCTGCTGCTGCGGACTGCTGCAGCGGCTTCCCTCCCCCTTGCACAGTTTAGTGCTGCGGCCTTGGCGCCGTCGTCCTGCCGTTTCTGCAGCAGAAGAATCGTCGGTAGCAGAGGCTGCTGCTGCTGCTGCTGCTGCTGCTATTGGTGCTGCTGACGCTGCTTCTGCTGCTCCCGCTGCATCTGCTTGCAAAGCTGCAGGTGCAGTCACCGCAGCAGCAGCAGCGCAGGGAGCAGCAGTAACGATAACTGCATTTGGTGATTCCTTACTGGGGTCGCTCGTTTGCTGCTGTTGCTGCTGCTGCTGCTGCTGGAGGGCGCAGTCGTGGTGCTGCAGTTGTGCGTTTTGCTGCTGCTGCTGCTGCAGCAGCCTGCAGCATTCTTTTTCTGTAAGCGCTTTGCAAGCAAATGTTGCTACAACTTTATCTCCATGCATCGCTCTGTTTCTGTTGCTGAAGCCGCCGATCTCAAATGCATGCAGACACTCCCGCGTCTCGGGGTGTACGTACACCCGAAAAGGAGCAGCAGCAGCAGCAGCAGCAGCAGCATCCGAAGGACGCACAAGCAGCAACTGCAGCACAGAACCAACCACACAAGGCTACAACGCAGCTACAAGAGACAACAGCAGCAGTAGCAGCAACAGCAGCAGCACCACGAAAAGCAACAGCAGCAGCAGCAAGAGCATCCGCAACAAGCATGCGAAGGCGCTCACCGCCTTCTCCGTCTTCGTAGCAGGTACATGCATCGTGCCTCTCAGTGCAAGGCCTGCTGCAGCAGCTCTTGCTGCTGTCTCCTGAGACCAGAACGGCTCAAATAACCTGCTGCTGCTGCTGCAGCTGCTGTCGGCTCCCAACCCCGCTGCTGCTGCAGAGGAGCAATCGATGCTGCTGCTACTGTCACTGTGACGAGAGCGCAAAAGACGCCTTGGAGGTCTTCTGCTGCTACGGCCCTGCTGCAGCAGCAGCGGCTGCTGCTGCTGCTGCTGGTGCTGCAGCACAGTCCTGCGGGAGAAGGCCCCACTACGGTACCCCCGAGAGCGCATACACCTCAAACTCCACCTGCTGCTGCTGCTGCTACTGCTGCTTCTGGTCTCACCAGCGGCAGCAGCTGCAGTTGGTCCTTTACGAAACGCTTTTGCTGCTGCAGCAGTTGCTGCAGCGGCCCATTCCTTTGGTTGCTGCTTAAATTGCTGCAGCAGCTGTTCATACTCTTCCTGTCGTTGCTGCTGCCTTCGTTGCCTCTCTAGCTTGCGTTGTGCTGCAGCAATGCGCTTTTGCTGCTGCTGCAGCAGCTGCTGCTGCTGTTGCTGCTGCTGCTGTTCTGAGCAGGCTGGAGGCCGCCACAGAGCTGGATGAACAGCATAAGGAGGCCCGTGCTGCTGCTGCTGCACCAGTTGCTGCTGCTGCACCAGTTGCTGCTGCTGCTGCTGACCCGAAGGACAGCCCCAGCCTCCCGGGGGCAACGGATGTCCGCAGCTGGCTTGCTGCAGCTGCTGCTGCAGCAGCAGTTGCTGCTGCTGTTGCTGCCATTGTTGTTGCTGCTGCGCCTGGTACTGCCACATCCGGTAGTGCAGCAACCAAGCAATTTGCTGCTGTACTTTTGCTTCGATCTGCTGCTGTGCAGCCAGTGCTCCGTGTTGCTGCTGTTGCTGCTGCTGCTGTTGTTGCGGCTGGTGCTGTTGCTGCTGCTGGTGCTGCTGTTGCTGCTGCTGCCGCGTCTGCTGTCTAGGCTGTTTATTTCCTTCTGCTGCTGCAGACTGGCTAAGGGAAGAAGCGCTGCTTCGCAAGGCACCACTTGCTCCATCCGTTTGCAGCTGCTGCTGCTGCTGCCGCCATTGCTGCAGCAGCAGCTGCTGCTGCTGCTGCTTGCGTTGTTCCTGCGCAAGGGTCTGTTTATTCTCAATATTACTAGCAACCAGCCGAGGAGGAGATTCACATGATGGCGAAGCAGCAGCAACAGCAGCAGCAGCAGCAGCAGCTGCTGCTGCTGTTTCTCCTGCTGCTGCTGGATCCGCTGGCCCAAGAGAAGTGCGCGAAGCTCTCAAAAAACGAAGTTGAGTCCAGGGTGCAGCAGCAGCAGGAGTTGGTGCTGCTGCTGCTGCTGCTGCTGCTGCGGGTTGCGTTGGAACGCTTGTTGCTGCTGCAGGCGCGGGAAGATTTGCTGCTGGCCGTTGCAATGCCAGACGCCCTCCGACTCCGCGTAGTGAGTGCAGCATTGCCTGGGCTGCAGCAGCAGCAGCTGCTGCTGCTGTTGCTGCTACTTCTGCTGCTGCTGCTAAACAGAAGACACAGACGCTAAGCCCCCAGGCTAAAGCCGCCTAACACACCAGCAGCCGCAGCAGTCATGGCGGCAATAGCAGCAGCAGACGCAGCAGCAGCAGCAGGCGGTGGCTCCCGTTCGTTGGCTGAGGCAGCACTGGCGTGTTTTTCGTGCTGCTGCCTTTGCTGCTGCTGCTGCTGTTGCTGCTGCTGCTGAAGAGGGGCAACAGAATTAACTGCAGGGCCTCATCGAAGTCCCTGAGGCTGTGTCCTAGCCTTTTCAATACAGAAGGCAGCGCTGCTGCTGCTGTTGCTGCCGCTGCTGCTACTTGTGCTGCTGCTGCTGCTGCTGCTATTGCTGCTGCAGCGGCTGCGGCGTGGGGTTTGCTCCGCTGTAGGCTGACAGCTAGAAGACAATAAATATATCTTTGTAAATAAAATAACAAACTCAATAATAAATAAATTTAACTAAAAATAAATAGAGGAACCTTCGATTGCAGCCGATGCAGCAAGTAGAGCCTCCGTGCATGCGCTGCAGCCGCAGCAGCAGCTGCTGCTACAGCAGCAGCAACAGCAGCAACAGCGGTTTTTGCTAGACTTTTCACTGCTTCTGTGAGAGCTTATGGAGAGAGAGAAACCGCAGCAAACACAATGAGGGGACCTAAGGGGGTAGACAGGGAAGATCTGCTTATGCTGCTGCTGCTGTCGTTGCTGCTGCTGTCGTTGCTGCTGCTGTCGTTGCTGCTGCTATTGCTGTTGCTGTAGGTGATGCTGCTGTTGGTGCTGTTGTTGGTGTTGCTGTCGTTTAAACTTCTGTTTCTGCTGCCGTTTTTGCTGCTGCTGCTGCTGTTTTTGCTGCTGCTGCTGCTGCTGTTGCTGCCGCTGCTGTCGTTGCTGCTGCTGCTGTTGCTGCTGCTGTTGCTGCTAATGTTGGGTTCTCTCGCTGTCCCGCTGAGAACAACAGAAGAATGTGGAGGCATCGTCGCGTCATAAAGAAAAGAAGCTTATTATTGTTTATGCACATTGTTAGCTGTCTCCTCCTGTCTTCTTGTGTCTCCCTTCTGTCTCCTTTTCTGTCTCTCTTTATTTGCTGTCTTCCGTTTGTCTCACCTCTTGTCTTCCTTCTCTTTTTTGTTATATTTCATCTTATTTACCCTTAGCCTTTTCTGTCTGTCTCCTTTTATTTCCTGTGTCTTTTCTATATCTCTGTCTGCCTACTGTCTCTCCTCTGTCTCCTTTTTCCTACTGTCTCCTTTTTGTTGTCTCTCCTTCTGCAAACTCTTAGCCTTTTCTGTCTGTCTCCTTCTGTTTTCTGTCTCCTTCGTCTCTCTTCATTTTTTGTCTCTTCTATGTCTCCTTTTGTCTCCTGTCTGTCTTCTGTCTCCTTTTATTCTGTTTGTTTGCTGTCCCCTTCTCTCCTATGTCTCCTCTTTTATTCTGTCCCCTTTAACATTCCGTCTCCTTTTACATTCTGTCTCTTGTTATATTATCGTTCTTTTCTGTATCCGTTTATATTCTGTCTCCTTTTCTACTCTGTCGCCCTTTGTATTCTGTCTCCTTTTCTACTCTGTCTCCTTTTATATTCCGTCTCCTTTTGTATTCTGTCTCCTGTTTGTCTCCTTTTGCATTATCTCTATTTTCTGTCTCCTTTTACGTCCTGTCTCCTTTTATTTCCTGTCTGTTTTTGTCTTTCTTTGTTCTTTTTTTGCTCCTTTTTGTCTCCTTTTCTTATTCTTCGGTTTGTCTGTTCACTGAAATACATACAGTGTGCACCTCTCTCAATTTGTCTCTGTCTTTGTTATATCTGTTTGTCTCTATCTGTCTCTGTCTCTCTGTCTCCGTTTCTTTTCTGTCTCCTTCTCTTTGTCTATGGCTGTCTCTGTCTCTTTGTCTCCTTCTGTTTCTGTCTCTTTCTCTCTTCACGCTGCAACAGCAGATGCTGCAGCAGCAAATACTGCATCAGCAAATGCTGCAGCAGCAAATCTTCTTAATATTTTCGCTCTCTCTACTGCCAGTCGCCAGCTGTACATACACCGCGTAGTTGAGCATAAACCTCTTCAAATGAATAAAGCTTACCCTCAGGTGTACATACACCTGAGGTGTTCATACACCTCAAAGTATGTATCGCACATACGACACACCTGAGGTGTATGTACAGCTCAGGTGTATGTACACACCCGAGGTGAGCATAATACACCCCTCAGGTGTATATACACCTGAGGTATACACAGTGGACAGACCTCTGAGGTGTACATACACCTGAGGCATACACAATAGATACACCCCTCAGGTGTACATACACCTAAGGGATACACAGTGGATAGGCCTCTGATGTGTACAAACACCTAAGGCATACACAATAGATACACCCCTCAGGTGTACATACACCTGAGGTATACACACTACACAGAACTATGAGGTGTATATACACCTGAGGCATACACAATAGAGAAACCTTTGAGGTGTACATACACCTGAGGTATATACAATAGATAAACCTTTGAGGTGTATATACACCTGAAGAGCACACATTACACCTTTGAGGTGTACATACACCTGAGAATAAATTCACCCTCTGAGGAGTCGCTGCTGCGCTGTACTTGATAATTATTTCTGAATAATAAAGAAATAATTAATAAGTAAATAATGAATGAATTAATAAGCTCTACTTGATTAATAATATTAATTAATTATAATTAATCAACTACTTCTCTTCTACCGCAACATATCGTAGGAGAAGCCCGGGACCTTAAAGAAGACAAGAAGAAAGATAACTAAGTGATACACTCCAGGGCAAAGACAAAGAAAAGACAGCAGCAAATAATGTGCTGCTGCTGCAGCACCTTCTGCAACAAATGTCTGCACACCGCTGAATAATATCAAAGACCCCACCAATGTTAGAGTAACTGCCTGCAGCAAAAAACAAAATTAATCATTATAAAGCAAATAAACATAAATACTACAATATATATATATATATATCTATATATATATATATATATATATATATATATATATATATA